GGGGGGGGGGGGGGGGGCGCTGTCCTGCCTAGGGCAGCAGGTTTCCTAAATACACCACTGGCTACAGGTATGCACATACAGGAGTTGTTTTACTAAAGGATAAGAGCATGTTCAGTTGCCTAGTAAAGTGTTAATCAGAATGAGGTAAAGATCGGTAAAAATTCACTTTGCAATAATTACCCAGTCATTTGCAAGAAAATGTAAACAGCATTTTTTCTTGCACGTGATTGGATGATCGAAGTCACTATAACTTCACCTCATTCGCTAAGCTAAATGAAAATAACTTTGCTTAGTGAATGAGGAGTGAGAATCTGCTCTGACCTCAATTACCCAATCATGTATGAGCAAAACTCCTGGTTTTTACATTTTCTTTGCACGGGGTATTCTTTGCAAAGTGAACTTTCACATATCTTAGTGAACGAGGTAAAGCTAAATATAAATTCACTTTGCAAAGAAAGCATACTCTACTCCTATTTTAGTAACCCAATCCCTGTGTGTTATCATCATGAGGTCAGGCAACCAACATGACAGCAGTTGTCTGACTTCAGATGACCTCTTACCTGTAGCTCCAAGGTTCTAGGGTCGTCTTTATAAGAGTAGATAAAACTAGGTAAAGTAGTATTAAACCCTCCTCTGTTTAACCCCCTACATATTCACCTATACGTTGCAAACAAACATATACCACAATGTGTGTGCATAAAATCTGTCCTCAGTCACTTACTTTTGATTACTATGAAAACTGCTTCCTCCTCTCACTCCAGTGCCACTTCTTAGGTCTTCCAGGCCAGGGCGGTTGATCACTGTAAAGGTCACATGACTGCCCATGGGACTACATGTCTCATAATTCCTTTGCTCTATTAAAAAATTATGCATGTGTGACCTAAGGCGTGTTCAGTTGCTCAGCCGCTGCGAGTGCTGAGTTAGCAAACTGCCACTAAACGCTGTGCTGCAAGTCAGCGCTTAGCACTGCTAACTTAGCACTCACAGTGGAAGTGAATGTGGATGCAGAGCGCTTAGTGTGACGGAGCTCTGTACCCACCTTCTCCAGCAGCCATTTTAACCTGGCAGCGCTGGAGAAAGGTGCTTGAACCTCCGATAGAGGAAATCACAATTCAGTGTGGGAAGATACAATCTAATTTTTTGGTGGGCGACCACACCGAATATTCGTTGTAAAATTGTATTTATCAGTCAAAAATATTATCCTCCGCCATTTTACTTAGCCGAAGCGTTCACTGAAGCTGCTGCAGCGAACCGAACTGCTGCAGAACAGCTACTCAGCGCTTGGCTAAGAAACTGAACACGCCTCAGCTTAGGAGTTTAGCTGGCAGGCAATCACTGTAGGCAGATCTTGTGATTCAGCTATTCACAGTGTTTGGAGCTGCCTGAGTATGTGGACGTACAAAGTTATGGCATGTCAGGCTGCAATGTGGGGCGGGAGTGCACTCGTAAGGGTGGCTCCAGGGAACCCTGAAGGGGAACGGAGCCCACCCTATAAGCGGAAGCAGGGGCTACTGAATTTTACTATACAAATTGCAAGAAAACAGAAGGCAATTATCAAACATGGTAAGTGCAGTGCAGATGTTTGCTGCTGTATGTCATTTTTTTTTCATTGGAGGGTTTAATAACACTTACGACTTCAGAATTATCATTTAGACTGAATATCCAGATTCTTACATAAGCTCTGTTGTGACTTGTTCTCTTTAAGAAAAAATTAACTTTTGTTGGGCCCTCGCTACACCAGGGGCTTTTCTGTCTTGATAACCAAAAAAGTTACTTATATTTATGTGATTGGGTTGATTCAACTTCACCTTTTGAATGTTCGTTGAGGATGAAGTAAGATTTATGTAGTGCAGTCAAGATGTATTCATTCATTTGGCACATCTTCATCATTTGCTGAGTTTGCCCACTCATGATGCTGTAGCTGGCAAATACAACTCCGTTCCAGCTTCCTCTTTCCTGTGCACTGTGAATACAAAACCACTTTTAACCTGTCATCTGGCAAGCGGGATGTCTAGATCTGTAAGATAATTCTTGTTACTGAGAAAAGCAAAAAAGCAACACAAGTTAAGCCATGAAATAGATAAATATGTAATAGTCACCATGCATACTTATTGGAGTTATGGTATAGCTTACCAGAAAAAGAATTACAGGGCTAGTTTTATTGGATAGAAAGACCAATGAAGAATACATTTAGACCGATAACATGCAGAAAGAGAGGTGATGCTTCAAAACTGATCACTGCTGTAAGACTAAAGGTGAACAGTTGCGCAGATTTGTCGGACCAGTGCTAAAGAAACTAGAAGGTTGACCCTCATATTACATGGCTGTTGGCAAAAGTTAAAATGCCCAATGAAATTGTTGATGCATATGAGACTGGTTTTTGGTTTATTTAGTTACATTGTTGTATGCAGCAATTTCTTAACTGTAGATAAGGATCATATAACATTTCTTAGGTGACATTATTCTATGTGATGTTGTCCAAAATAGCTCATATGTTATCATTTCTGAATCCTCTACCAGGTCCATCAGCACCAGGACAGAGGGGAGACTTTCCAATGTCAGCTCTGCCCTTTCACCTCTTCGCGCCATTTCAGCTTAAAACTCCATATGCGATGCCATCAGCACTTCCTACGGGCAGAGGCCAAAGTGAAGGAAGAGCCCAACGATGTCGACATAAAAGGATCTCCTTTTAATAACTCTTTGGGAAGCCATGATGAGGGAAGTACCTCACCTGGTCAGAACTCTCTTCTTCCTGAACAGTTAAGCCAGATCAGTTCTGTACCTGCCAGTTCACTACATATCAAAGAGGAGCCTAAAGACAGTGACTGCCCCTCTGTGGTGCCCTTCATTGAAAGACCCAACAGCAACAGCAGCATGAAGCTAAAAGATACCTTGGACTTTGTTACATGCCCCTCATCTCTTTTCAGCCAAGATATCTCTGTCAAGATGGCTTCTGATTTTCTGATGAAATTATCAGGTATGCAACACATATATAACCATTTTATTTATACTGTATTTTGGTGGTTTTACAAAAATGCATTATGTTAAGGGTAATGTGCCACACCACTGCCAGCTGTCTGCCAAGAAATGTTATTTTTAGATCTTCTCTGAAGGTGGTAGTTATATAAGCCTACAGATATCTGCTAGGAATTCAGCTTGCCATGGTGGAAGATGTGGCTGCCTAAAGGAGACATCTTTCAATGTATGCTGATTTTATATTTGGTTGTTTTCAACTCACCCATCCCTGGATAACCAAATCTGTGTAGAACCAGGTCACTATATCTCAGAAGAGAATGTTGGTGGCACATTTTAGACCGGCAAAACAGAAGCCGATCCCTCAAGAACTGATAGCTGCCCACTCTTCCTACAGTGTGCTGAACCAGGAGTTTAAATTCTGAGTTTTTCTACCTGAGCAGTTGTTTTTTTGATGCTTGGATTGAACCAAATTCCAAAGAATGCTTAACAAATTACTGTTTTTTTAACTCCATTGGAATGCATCCATCTCTAGCAATTACTGAATAATATAGATCTTGGGTTTAAAAAAAAAATGACAAGCTTTTTCAATGAGCTTGCGTATTTGTGGAGCTCTGTTTACATTTTTTTTATCTTTGTATTTGCCTTTGTCTGTTTTTTCTGTCCTTGATTCTTTCACAATGATGTTTTGCCTTATCCCAGAGATATTTTCCATTTCAAATGCTACTAGATTTCAGCCTCTAACACAGGGTTGAACAATCCCAGAAGCCAGGTAGCCTGTGCTTTTACAATGTACAATGGGTGCCTAACCTTTTTGAGTCATTTCTGCTTTTACGCAAATGTTTCCAAGTTTCTTATAACCTATTGACTCCTAGCATAGAATCACTGACTACTGAAAAGGCAAGTTCTACCCAAATCTATATTCTAGGTAGCTACTTAAATAACTTGTTCACTTCATTGGTATGGTATCCTTACCTTAAAAGTCACATTACAAAGGATTTACCATGATGATGCCTTTGCTATGACCTTATGGGATGGGGCAGAGATACAAACTACAGCTGGGAAATTTTACCATTGCAGTATGAGAGATATAAGAAGTCAATATTTGATTGAGAGGTGCTTATCTAGAACTGAAATGTCATCAGACAGACCTTGTCTGGTACACTTGCAGTGTGCTTTTTCTAAAATGGCAAGGCATAACTACCAGGTAGTGCTACTTTGCAGGAAACAGAACCTGCATATGTGGTGAAATATATGTCTGCCCTTATGTACATATAAAATTACAAACTATAGATAGAAAAAAACAGGTCAATTCACTAAAGGGTGAAGAGTTTGGAGAAGGCAGGAGAAGTGAACAATCTAGAACAGCATAGCTGAACTGGAAAGTGAGCTGAATTGGAGAATTTTTTCAAATCAGATATTTTGGCCTAGAGCAGGGGTCTGAAAGTACCAGCACGCAGGCCAAATCCAGCCCTTGAGCAGGTACTATGTGGCCCGCAGCCATCTGACAAGTCAGGCACACAGTCACAGACCACGTTCCTGACCTGCGGGAGCAGCTACACGGTTTGCATCTCTGTCAGATGCAGACCGCATACCTGCTCCTGTCAGTGCCAGCACCTTTTGGCCAGTGCTCTGACATCCTTCACTGAGCACTGGCCGAAAGGATGGATTGGTAAGTTCTGCACCAGCCAAAGCTGCAGACCAGACTAATCAACCACTGGATCACTAGGGAATGTGCCTCCTCCCTGCAAAAATGTAGGCAGGTGAGGGGGCTCACAGGATGGTGGGAAAGGAGTGTATTTTTTTATGTCGGGGGGGTGTATTATTTTATGAAGGGGGGGATTTTTCGTGTACATACGTGTGTCCAGGATGGTGATTGATTCCTAACTGCATGTTTTCATATCACATACGATTACATGTGGTGTGCAGGCGTTTACATGCAGTGGCTGTCATCCGATCATTAACTTGAATGGGTGACAGCTGCTGCTTGTAAAAGGCGTTGCTCCTAAACTTACAGGTGCGAATGGGGCCTTATTGTATTAGTGAGTGTATTTCTGGTTGTGGGGGGTCGTGTGCATATATCTGTTTCACTCACAGGTATCCTGACAATACACAGAAAGCATCACAAAAAAATATACTGACACTGTACACAAAGAAACCATCACAAACACATACAGTGACATTATAAACACACGCAGACATTAACAATGGTACTGTATTTAGTTACATTTTATTTTGAAGTATGACATTTGGCAAGCAACCCCCACAGGAGGAAAAAATTGTCTCTAGACTCTTCGCCTAGATTGTACACTTCTCCAAACTCTTCACCCTTTAGTGAATAGACCTGAAAGTTTTTTAAACCATAACTCACATTAATTTGATGGTTTTCTTGCATTAGGCAAGTTCTCTTTCATATATTACAAGCATAATGCCTGTATCATAAGAGCTACTACCAGAATAGTTACAATAGCTGTATCGTAGGCATGCTACTTTACATGTAAATTATCTTTACTGTCAGTTGTCAACATACAGCCTGTGCTTTAAAAGCTTGCACAGAGACTTGTATGTCACATGATCTGTGTCATAAAGGGACTGGGTTGTGGATTATTCTTATACAAATCAAGCTAGCATTTGAATCAGATGAATGGTATCCCTAGTGTGTTATTATGTTTGCCAGTCAGTTATACAGATAACTGACCTAGTTTACGTATTATTTTCATCCTCTCAGACCACTGAAAATGAAATGGACTAAGAGCTTGTGTATGAACAACCCCCTGAGTAATATGGTGACAAAACACAGGATAGAAGTGCAAGGATACAACATAAGTGGCACAGATAGGTTCTGTCTTTTGCTCTTTTATAATAGGCTTATCTGTATTGTAGTATTTATTTCGGCCCTTTTGAATATTCGTTCACAATTTGTACACATACAAATCTGTCGGAGGGGCAGTTGCTTCCTAGGCCATGCTGCACTGATACTACAGAATTGGAGACCTCTGAACTCTGTGGTGTTATTAACCTCTTGCCGTCCGCCCGTAGTAAAAAAACGGACGGACGGCACTGCTACATCTGCGGGTTGCCTTCTCCAGACGGCAATTTTTTTCTGCTCGCGCGCGCCCCCTAGCGGGCACGCACGGGCAGAAAAGACCCGACGATTAAACACACCCCTTACCGGGTGTTTCACATATAGGCGATCAGCGGGTCCATAGCCCGCCGATCGCCTATATGTGCTTGTTTTTTCGTCCCTGACCCCTCACCTTGATTCCCGGGATCCGCTGCCCCATCTTGGATCCCGGGACCGGCTCCGAGGGCGTCAGGAGGAGGAGGACGGGAGATCAGCTCCTTGCTGATCTCCGTCCGGGCTGTGAATGCAGAAGTGATGTGTATTACATCACTTCCGCATTCACCTGTCAGTCATCTGGAGAGAGAAGAAGCTGATAAAGCAGATCTCTGCTTCATCAGCTTCTTTTGGGGTCCACAGGGGATATTAGGGGTCTTTTCCCGACGTGACCCCATCTTTTATATTTTACCAAAAAATTGGGTAATAATAAATGTTTTATCATTTAATATAGGGGAAACTGTTGTTTTTTTTTAAATTTCGGTAATTTTTCCTTAATATAGTAAAAAAATAAAACCCCCAGTGGTGAATAAATACCACCAAAAGAAAGCTCTATCTGTCCCCAAAAAAGGGTATAAAATTCATTTCAGTACAGCGCTGCATGACGGAATAAATGTCAGTCAAAGTACCGCAGCGCTGAATACTGAAAAATGGCCTGGATGGGAAGGGGGTTTAACACCGCGGATGTCAACTGGTTAAAGAACAATTGGTTGACATCACATTACTCATCGCAGTGACATTTGCATCTGGGACTGGCACCTTTATGTGATGTCCCTGGTGGGGTTTCTTGTAGCATACCTTGTCTTCTAAATACAATCATAATGACTGGGGAGATGGGGAAAACCAGTGGAATATTCTAAATGAATAGTAATATTGTGAAGTTACATGATTTTTCTGTGATATGAACCTAGGCATACCAAGCACCCATTGAGCAGATGAGAAAATGTTGTTTGCTGCAATGGTAACTAGCAACATCTGAAAATTTGGCATAAAGTATACTTCAAAAACCTATATGAACCCGATAGGACAAATATCTAAAAAAAAAAATACTTCCAGAAATGATGGTTAATTGCACAACATCACAATGTATTTTTAGTTTTGGATAAAGAGTAAGGAAAGAATTGGAACCTCTGATTTTTTTTTTTGCTCTTGGTATTACTTGGCATTACAGATAAGAAGATTCAGCCATTGCTTTAGTTTTGATGGCAACTGTTAGAGACAGAAAGCTATGAGAAGTCCAAAGCCAATTTTACTGTTGTTTCCAGAACAGGAAATAAAGGTCCCTATTCCAATGACAACTTTCTAAGACAGCCCTTGTCAACCAGGGTGACGCAGCACTCAGGGGTGCCTCAGAATTTTCGCATTGAGTTGTGGTTTTCAATTGTGCAGGTCAGCCAGTTGCCAGCACCAAGAAAAAGAATGATGCTAACCCAAGGAGGGTGGCATTCTTTCAGAAGAGGATGAAAGTATGCCTCCCTTTATACCTGCTCCACCTCCCATCTTCTGCCATATTTGTATCATTTACAGCTAATTTGCCTACAAACGTCAGGTGGTCATAATAATCTGCCCACTCAGTGTACACTGTGTATGATGGGTGGCAGCCTCAGTCTCCAGTGATCTGATACCCCTATAGCCAGAGAAAACTTTCCACAATGTTAGGAGGAGATTCCTGCGTTTACAAAAAAAACTGCTTCAAATATCTCACAACACAACAATAATCTGTGACGTAAAAAGAAACAAGTTATGTTATCTTTGTAAAATGTGTAAATGTTTCTGGCAGTGCTTTATCTCATGCAATGTAGAATTCGAGGAATTCTCTTTAAGCTGATTGTTAGTGCTCATACAGAATATATCACATAGACAGGGCAGAGTGTAATGATGATCAG